AAATGATGAGATGGCAGCAACAAAGTCCCAAGTTTTGATTTCTATGCATGCACATTTGTGAAACCCCAACTTGATCAGAAAACAATTGGTTTTCAATTTGGGAATCCTCTACTTTATCTTGTCTCTCCATATATTTTATATATATAAGAGCAAAAAAAAAAAAAAAAAAGATATTCTATCACATATTTTAGTATTTTGTGCTTTATCAATTCAAATATTCAATGCGACAAATTATTGTGCTTATGATGAGCGGTGATGATGACGATGATCATGGTTTGTAAATTAAAAAAAGAAACGTACATAAACAAAGTTAAAGAGCATACAATTAAAAAAATCGATTGTTGGAAGATTTTGTTCTTCATGGAAGCTGTTATCAGAAATAAATGATGATACATATACAGGTAACTAAGATGATCAACATGAGTACTTTAGCTTATAGCACTTGTAGCTAGTGATCACAAACGTTGACAATTATCAGTAATATGTAGAAGTTGATCATATATTAATTACAAGTTGCAACTTTCCAATAATATATATTCATTAATAAGAAGATTAAGTAAGAATCAATACAAAGTAAACCCAGTAATGAATTACTGTTTAGACCTAAGTGACTGAATAAGATCAAAACCAATTACATAACCAAACAACCATTTTGGAGTACTACTATTACTACAACTACTTCTCTTCAAAAAATACGTTAAAATTGAGAATTTTCAGAACTAGCTCGGTTCGAAACGGAAACGAGAATTTAATTATTAGGAACTCGATTTGGTGTTCGAAATCAAAAAAGATTTGGTAAGATTGTTGAGCTTGTTTGAATCACACAATTTGGAAACTAGAACAATGTCATTTAGGGTTACATGTTGATTGCTGAAGAGGTCTTCATGATTGAAAAGTGGAGGTCCCCAGCTGATCAAAAAAATGTGTACTGTTTAATTGGTCGCTTTTGATGCGTGTCGCATATGTACGGACTTATAAAGGTAATTATCGATATGTTTATATACAAAGTCATGGCCAGCCAAGTTTTGAGCCAGAAATAGTTGTAGTACTCCTTTGATCATGTCGCTTTCAAGTTATAGATTATTACTACGCTGGTTTTGGATCCAAATATACATGGACGAATTTTCAATATATATTGTTTTTTAAGGATAAAGGAATTATGATCACACAATAAATTCCAAAGAAAAACATACATAAACAAGTTTTTAATAGTTACGTTTTCATAGTTACAGTTACGTTACTCATTAAATATAAAAAATTTTGATGTCGTGACTTGATAAGAATTAAATTTCATTAGTTATTATTGATTTATATGTATATGTGTACTGATGAGAATGTACAATTATTTTTTCCATTAAAAGAAAAAAAGTGAATATAGACAAATAATTGCACTAGCCTCATAATAATTAAGATGATTGTTTGACATGTGGTCACAAGTACAACTTATTGCTAAGTCCACACACGACTTCACTTTGCGTTGCACAATTCGAACACTCCATCCTTAAATTTAAAATAAAATATAAAAAAAAAAATAAAAAGGTTCTTTCGGACGACATGGTTATAAACTGTACTGTATAAAAATATTTAAAAGAATTTAATTAAGAAATCCATGAACTAAATTTATGGCGATCCTTCTACAAGTCATGACTAATTTTTGACGTGTTGATTTTGGGGTTTTATTCCCTCTATTTAACTTTTGCTTACTTCTCATTTAGCCAACTGTGTTTTGAAAGGGCAAAGAAACTAAAAATGATTTAAATATAATTTGACGAATGCAATAATATTACAAAGCACCAAAGAGACTTTTGCACTACCTCCCCACTTCTCAAACGTGATTTTATCTTCTTTTTTTTTTTTTTTTTTTCTCCCTTGGAATCAAATAGTTAGTTAACTCTTGCTGCAATCATTGATGACTTCATATTTTATTAGTTTCAAAATCCCCCCTAACTCTAATATGAACTCAGACCAATTTGTTTCCAAGATATATAATACAAAAGACCATAATTTTGTAATTACATTGTAATACTGTGGGAACTGAGAAGAGTAACATGGAAAATGTATGACTATATTTAAAACATACAAACAAAAACAATAATGTTGATGAGATGAAGATTAGCAGACGATTTTTCTGACACTAAGGGAAAAAAAAAAGACAATTATTTCAAAGAAAGATGCACGCAGAGAACATTCTTGTAAAGAAGATGTGGCTGATTTTGGACATTTATATGTATATGGGGCTAATGCTGGGTCATCGAAAAAGAAAGACGTACGTACGGTCGAGGTCTTAAATGGAGGCTATTGTTACGAGGGGCAACGCAGTAAATAGCGTGTTTATAAAATTAAATTAAGTAAATTATAGATTTTTAAATTATTTAAAATAAGTAACAGTTTGTGTGAATTATTTACTGCATAAATGATTCATTTACGGTTAATAAAAATATTTTTTCTGAATATATTTTTTTTTACGACTGGTAAAAAGAATTTTTTCCATGTAAATAAAGATTTTTAAGATTTTTTACCACATAAGTTATTTTTTTCCATTCGTAAATGAATCATTTATACGATAAATAATTCATTCTCATGTAAACTGCTATTTACTTCAAATAATTTTAAATTTTACTATGTACTTAATTTAGTTTAAAAAATATATTGTTTACAATGATTTCCCTTGTTATATTATCAGATTTTCACTCTCTCATTAGAAGACTATTTAGTCCCAACTTTTGTAAAAATGTCGAAATTTTTAATGTCTAGTTTTTATAAAAAAAAAAAATTTTTAAAAAATTTCTAATTGAACAACTGAGCCTTTTAACTTTTGTGGCGTTGTTTGATATTCTAGAGACCACTTTTAAAATAATAGTAGGGTTTTTGCTGTGTAAGTTGTCTTTTTGCTGTGTATATAGGTCCATGCAACTTTGTGTTGTTAGTTGGCATATGACCGACAATGCATTAGCTCTAATTTTGAATTAATAATATGGTTAAGAGACTAATTTTGCTGATTAGCATAAAGTCTAATTACTAATGTTAACTTCGTATGTGCAATGTAGGGGTTAATTCACTATGGTTCAAAAATATATCGTTTTATTTTACAACATCGACACTTAAAGTTGTAGTATATTATTTTTCTCACAAAATTTACGATATCAGAATCTTCAAAATTTGTAAATGTATTGTTTTATTTTACAATTCCAACATTCAAGCCCCAGAGCCAAAAAATCTCCCGAACACCGTAGAACAATCTAATGAAACAATCAGAAGGAACACAATAAAGAGAGAATAAAAAATGTCATTCTTAAAGTAACTATTTTATTTCTATTATTATTATAAATTTATTTTATGCAACTAATAATGTGTAAGTTATTTTTTTATAATCTGTAAGTTAAGTTATTTTTTTATAATCTGTAGGTTATTTTTCATAATATGCAAGTTATTTTTTATAATCTGTAAGTTATCTTTCGTAACGTGTAAGTTATTTTTTCATAACTTGCAAATTATTTTTTATAATGACATCAAAATTTTATGTAGTGGCATAAATAATAGTGTTGAAAAAAATAAAAACTTTTCTCAAAAAAATAATTAAAAATGGCGTTTGGTATGCAGTAATTTTAAGAATGATAATGAGAATTTGTAAGATTATCATGTTTGATATAAGAACTCTAATTTTTAAATTCCTAAAAAAGTGAATACATGAGATTCACTTTTCATCAATTTAGAGTAATTTGAATACCACCTAATAAGTTGATTTTCATATGCCCGGGAACATAACTAAACGTGAGAATCTCAAGAATATCAAAAGCACCACTGTTTGTCCTCTCACCACTGGAAATCTCAAAGGCCTCCACCGTCACAGGCGCCAACATTGCAGCCGTCACAATCACAGGCCCACCGTGTGCCCCCCATCGTCAAGCACCCATTGCGGGCCTCCCACCATCCCAGCCCCCACCGTCACAAACGCCGCCTATCTCGGCCTCTAATAGTGCTCACACAGCCTCCTCGCCGGAAAGCCATGCACAAACGACGATCTCTGTTTGCAACGCCATGGAAAGCCCTTGCCCTCCTCTGCGACGCCGTGTGAAGCATTTTCACCGTCGCTTATTGTCAACATTTTCACGCCGTGTGAAGTGCCACTAGTTTGAGATTGAAAGGAGAGAAAGAAAGAAAGAGGAGAGAGATGACTGAGCGACATCCATATTTAGTTTGGGATTGAAGATCTAGTTTGAGATTGAAATGAGAGAGAAAGAGTGACAGTGAACTTGAACTCGAAGAGAAGGAAGCACATGAATTTTTTTTTTTTACTCAATATTGGTTTTTATTCTTATTCTCATTTAAATTTTAATTTTTAAAATTTGCTAATTTTTTTGCACAGCATCTTATAAATTCATTTCTTAACCGTGTAAGATTTTGTATTTTTTTAGAATAATACGATTTTAGCATTAAATTAATTCAAATTAGTTATTTAAAAAAAATACATTATATTACTTTGTACAAACAAAACACAGCAAATTAATATTCCCGGAAATATGAAAAAAGATTCTTATGTACAACCAAACATGTTAATATTTATTTTTTAGGAATTATATTCCCTTCTATCACTTTCCCATTCCTACCTATTACTGTATATCAAACGCCCCTAAAGAGTTATGCAGTCCAGCTTGGCAATTTGGTCAAGACTCAAGAGAATTGGGTGGAGGAATTAGTGTAATATAGGCACTTCAACAAGATTAGGGCAATAAACTTGCTCATCTTAGAGCTTTTAAAGATTAGAATCTAAGGTGACTTAAATATATATATATATATATATATATATATAAAGAAACGGTATATATATCACCCATTTAGTCTTTCATTTATATCATTAAAAAATTGAAAGAAATAAGAAAGTGGTAAAATTAACCAACCAAATGACATATCAACCACACAATCGAGTTAAATCAGAAACATAATAATTGTATAGATAATGAGCTTTTTTACCCATATACTATAAAAACAATGCACGAAGCTTTTCACTGAGAGCATACTTGTGCACTTCTCAGTGGCCTCTAAATAATATTCTTATTTGTTTTTGTTTTTTTTTTATTTTCCTTCTGTTTGATGTTTCAATTTGAATTGTTAAGCTCTTTCCAGTATTGAAAAGAAATACAAATTGTAAGATATTACTCAACTAGCTAAAATTCTGGTATTGAGAATACACCAATTGATATATATGCATGCTTATGGAAGTACCTAGCTTGGCTCATCGGAAAACCAGATGGTGGCAAGTGTTGTCACAAGGGTAGGGACAATCAATGGCCTTAACGGCTGCTCGGTCAAAGTACCAATCTCCGACGGCTAGCGCGATCGGCTGCATATTATCGACCACCAAAAAAAGAACAGAAATTACACATTTTGAACATTTTTGTGCTAAATCTAATAATGCTATTAGAACATTGGATTAGTGTGAGCGTGAATGTGTCCAAAAGAGTAAACAGTCAAAATTCAAGAATGTAGGTAGTCATTTTCGTGACAATCCAAAAACATGCAAAATATGGTGTTCGCTGTTGATAGCGACCTTGGAAAAAAGTTATCTTAAGTTTTTTTTTTTTTTTTTTTTATTCAAGAATGTAGGTAGTCATTTTCGTGACAATCCAAAAACATGCAAAATATGGTGTTCGCTGTTGATAGCGACCTTGGAAAAAAGTTATCTTAAGTTTTTTTTTTTTTTTTTTTCCCTTTCACCCAGATTTTTTAATGAAAATTTTGCAACTTGCAGCAGTGATGATAGCTTCATAAGAAGTTTCTGACGTGAAACTAGCGCAACTAGCACAAAATTCCAAATCCCATGTTTTCTTTATGAAAGATAGAAGTAATGTTTAATGTTGTGTTACAACCAAAAGGGGGTGCAATTGGAGGCAAAACCAGAAAAAATCAAATGTACACTCGCCTGTACGTGGCTCCCCCCCTGGGTGCAATACCAATCCCCTATCTCAAGGTCTCGGAAATTTCTCGACTAAAACGTAATAGGTGGCATTTTTCTGAACTTGAAATGTTGTTATTACTCTTTGAATTAACTATCAGGAAATGACAGTAACAAATGTCAAAAGCATTTTAGATATCGTTTTAGATCCTTCTGAAACCATGGATTCTGTTAATCATATCTAATTCTAAGGAGACATGTGATACAGCCTATGATATGTGATATGGATCTAATTTAAGCATGTTAGACCTAGCCATTTGATTTTTGATAGTTTTAATCCCTAAAACTGAAGTTGATAAATGATTTCTAAAATTTAACGTAGATAATCATGTCCTTATTGCATAATGACTGAAAATTTTACAGTAAACTGCAAAATGTTGTAGTTTTCAATAGGTTTAGTAGCAACAAAGAGATAGTGCAAAATGTTAGTTTTCAATAGGTTTTAATAGCAACAAAGAGAGAATTTTGAAATATAAATTAACTCATTCTGCAAAATTTAAAGTTATCACACGATGGCCATATGATCATTTTTGTTAAATTTCAGAAACCGTTAATTAATTTTAATGTCATGGACCAAAACTATCAAAAAATAAAAGTTCAAGGACTATTATGCCACAGTTATAAGTTTAGGAACCAAAATGTCATCATGCTCAAAATTCAGCGACTAACACTGCCAATTATCCAAAACTAAATATAGTCTGCATGAGTACAAGACATTACCTTGTTATGGAGAACAGGGGAGTTGTCAGCAAACCATGTATCCTGCCTCTCAGTTTGGCAGTGAGCAAAACATGAATTTATGAATAACCCGTTTTGATGAGACGTTGCGAATTGTCTGATCACATTCAGCATTTGATTCCTAAATCCTGTTCCAAAGAAATTAAAACGAAAATTTGTCACAGTAAGTAGACAAGATTATATGTTACGTCTTGAAACCATACATATGTGCACGTTGCAATGATGAGGCAGGATTTGGTTGTGCTATGAAAACAAGTAGTTCATGAAATATATGAGATTATCACCTTGGAGAAATAGAAGTTGTGATGGATTGCACTTTGCATGGTTTAATCTGCAATCATGCCAGTAGCCATGGGGATCTGCTGATGGCGGTGCTAAACTAGATTGGATCTGATCATATGACGGAGCGTATGAGTTTCTTCAAGAAAAATCCAAAATGGTATAGGGATAGCGATTGCAGATAATTAGACCAGTTTCAAATATTAGGTAGAAATAAAAAATACCTGCCAGGAATCGTAGGCTGCATTGAGAATAAATAGAGGGGTCCTAACGCTGTTGATTAAATTCTGAGGGAAAAAACACTGAAAGAAAAGTTGGGAAAAATGGCAAAAAAAAACACAGGCAGACGGCAAAATCAGTATGATAGATGGCAAAAGAGCTCAACATTGTTTATCTGCTTCAAATCAAAATATTAAACGACGTAATATGATTACCGAAGTTGGATCGAGATGGTTAGTGCAAATGCGCGGAAGATTCTTTTTCACGCCCTGAAATAATTTCAAAGACGAAACATTTTTAGATTAACGTATTGCCACAGCAAACTGACTTCAGATACACATTTATTTATCTATTGTTTTTCTCGTTTCTTATTGCTCTTGAATACTAGGAATTAGTGATATTAATTCCTAAATATGAGAATCTAAGAATAGTTACTCAACGTTGCAATTTCACTTTAAATAATGTTTTGATCTCAAATCTGAAATATGAAACTATCAAAATAAAAGAAGGCTTGTTTTACTTCATAAAAAACCAAACCTTAAAAGTAAGCAACGCAATACCTGCAAGCCCACCACACCAGTGTACATATTTCTTAGTGTTCTTCCACCAGAAACATCAGGCCTAAAATTGAAGAAGGGACAGACCATCAGCCAAGCCTACTCTCAAAGAAGAGGGGGAAAAAAAGGAAAATAAAAGGAGGTGCTGGAAATAAGACCGTGAAATATAATACTTACGCATCAAGAAACAAACCAGCGTCACTCAGGCACTTCACTTTGGTGGTTCTTGGGAACAAACTACGGAAGTCGTCGCAGTGTAAAATAGCTGCTAAACCTCCAGCAGAGCATCCGGATAGAAGAGCCTGGAAAACAATTTGAAGTACGAATTAATAATCTTTTGACTGTTATTGCGTTGGCCATCATAAAATGGAAAAGGGCATGAATAAGAAAGGATTAAGAGGTGATCTCAGCGTGAACAAATACTAAACCTGATGAGCATACCGCATTCCCTTTGACATTAAGTCCTCCATTCCGGCCCAAAATATGCGCTCTCCTCTAAATTGCAAGTTTGCAGCCTAGAAAAAGATGTTATATTTAAATGAAAAAATCAGTACCAAATCCAGAAGTATCACTTATGTCCTCAAATAATGAATCATGGTTAAAACTTTAACAGAGTGGCTAAATATCATAAGATCATTATACGGCTCTTCCTAGATTTTGAGAAGTTAAGAACAATGTATCAACCACAAAGATGATAACTTGATTGTACATAAAGTTGGACAACATATTGAGCAACTACTTGAAGCTCACTTAGTTTCAGTTTTAACTTTTGTTGCACAATCAACAGAAACTTAAAAGCAAATATATCGTGAAAAGCATAGCAAATGGAAAGGATTTATCACGAACCTTATGTTCACTGTCCCCTGTGAATGATGCACCGTCGCAGTAACGGAGTTTTATTCTATTCCAGTTAAAAAAATCTGAAACCCCCAAAGAAACAACATAGTGGTAAGAGAGCTAAACCAAGAAAGACATAGAGACAGATAACAACAGAATGTTCATTATTCTCTCATCTTTTGTTTCTAAATTATTCTTCGACATTGAGTTTGAGAAAGAACCAGGATTTTCTTCAGCTTTATCACTGAGGATTCCTGTAAATGGTATCTGCTTTTCCATGTATGCTGATGATCCCCGCCTTGTTGTTTTGCGGTATACGCAGTTTCTAACGCTATTACACCAGCCACCACCCTGCCACAAGATGTTTGTTCAAAAACAAATTCAGTTTTAACAGTGGAAAAAGACTACATTATGGAAACAGAATAATTAGTGTCTCGAGATCTCCATAACTTGTCATTAGAAAATTCCGTTCAGAACATTACACTACTTGATAACATATTCTATACTCTAAGCTCCAAATGGGCTCGGAAACAAAAACTGTGGTTTGTAATTTAACATGTGCCTTTGAAGTTTGGACATCAGAAATCACTCAGTTTCCATGGAGAGAAAAATCCTTAAACATGAAAAACTGAAATAATAATATATAATTTACTTCTAGTTCTATACACTAAACAATTCTATTAGAGTACAACTAGAATAGTAGAATGACATTAATGTTAGTTGTGTACATCTTATCTTAACTGATTAGAAAATGATAAGTTAACAGTCGCATCGCTTTGTAACTAAAACATAATAAACAAGTTGGTGTCCTTGGCATTGCGAAATTTTTTTTGTGCTTAGTGCATGTTTATGAATGTTGCATTTAGTCAAAATCATCTCAAAATGAAAAAGTATTTAATAGTGGCAAAATCTTCAGAACAAGAGTATTTTTTTCATAACCTACCATAAAAATCTCAAATTTTTATTTTAAAGCATCCAGGATAATATCATACGTAAAATTTATGTAATTAGAACATAAAGGTGTTAATTGTTCTTTTCTATCTACAAACCTCCAACTGAATGAGCCAATTATTTGCTCCAGATCCATGTCCACGGTGCCAATGGTAACCCGGCAAGGTTCCATCCAAGCAGACTGTAAAAGTCAAAAACAACAGGCACGATTATACCACCATATGAGACAAATATTGTAAATAAGGACATTAAAATAATTTTGAAGTCACTAATACTAAACAACCAAAACAAAAGATCTACAATTTGAACTAAAAATCAATTAAAATTGAGGTATACATGAGAGTGGTAGTAAAGACAGCACTACATTACAAACAAGGGTATCCAAATCTATAAAAATAAAAAATAAAAAAAATAAGACCCACTTGCCGAACAAACAGAAAGGAATAAACTTTTCTTCTTTTTCTTATGAGACATTCACATCAGAAGGAAAATAGAGGAACGGAATAACAAAGAAAGAAACTTGGGTTAAGCAAAAGTCATTCTCTGGAAACACTTTTGCCCACCATCCTAACTCACCCAAACATGAAAAATTAAATAAAATAAAGCAAACAAAAAATATAAAAAAGAAAAAAAGAAAAAAAAGTACCAGCTCCTTTCGCATTAGCTCCATAAATGAGGGTAAGTCCAACCATCAAAGCGTTAGGAATGGCATTGGAGACTCCATAACTTTCTATCAAGGACATCTCTGTTTCATTGAGACCATACTCCACAAACCCATCAGCCCATTTCCCAAAAACAACTAATATTGCAACAACAACCAACAAAAGCTTCTTCATATTCATCCTCTGCCTCAAACTCTCTGTCACCAACCAAGTTTCCAAACAAAAAAATATATATATAATCAAACAAAAGCAAAGAAGAGAGTAAAAAAATAATAATAATAAGGGAAAGTTTGAATATAGCCCAGCAAGGAATGTGTATTTAACTCAAAAGATCTTGAAACAGAAATACAGAAACATTTACGGGCAAAAAATCTTTCCAGTTTTTAGCTTGAAATGAGCTAAATAGGGAAGACAAGAAAAAGAAATCTTAGAGAGAAAGAGAGTGAAGGAGCTTTTACTTTTGAGCAGAGAATACTGTTTTGTTTGCCGGGCTTTTTTGATTTTATGACAGTGGTCATGTTTGGAATGTTATATATAATTCGTATTACATTATATTATATAGTATGTTTAATGATGGGCTAAGCTATAGATACAGCACTGTATGGTTGAGTGACCTCACAGACGAATTGCCATCGTTCATGTCACTTTTTGAGAGGATAAATATGTGTTCTGTCATCCGTGAAGAGAATAATGACCCACATTTATGAACATCATCATAAATAAATTGGTAATTAATTAAATGTTCAGAGCAAAAAAAGAAGTAAATAGGTAAATGTCTCAGCAAAAAAAAAAAAAAAGGAAATAAATAAATGCACGTATAAATCAAAAGAAAAAACAAGATAAAAATAGAAAATTTTTGTAACAGGATATATAAAAAATGCGTTATTGGGTTTCTATAGTTTTAAACTTTTAGATCTAAAAGATTGGGTTTCTATAGTTTTAAACTTTTAGATCTTATTAGAATTTGTCAAATATATATAATATTTACTTTTTGATATTATTATGATATTCAAAGATGTATAATGCTAAAATTACACAGATCTTTTACCATGAAAATACAATGATTAATGCTTGAGGTACTACAAATTTTACCACCATCTTTTTTTTTAGCAAAAAAGCAATTATTAGACACTTAAAAGTGCGAGAAAGAACAAACATTATATACATATATATATATGCTTACATAAAGTTGTAAAATAAAATGCCGCATAAAATAGTCAAATGAATGGTAGGCCATTTTTTTTAAGGAAGGTGCAACTACAAATATTACTCAAATGTAAAAGCTTAAAAAATATTTCCTATATATAATTCTATCCACCTAATAGTGGAAAAACATTCTATCCACAAATTGAGCTAATTAACGTGAAGAGGAGTAGTTGATTCTGTGAAGAACACAGCGGTGGAACACTGGAAACTTAACTAAAAGCTGTCATGATGGCTATAAATGCTGGAACAAATTTTTGGTTACCTTCTTTATCCTTGGCTTTAGATTTATGGTTCTTACTTTCAGAGCTTTCTTTTCTTTTTTTCTTTTCATACAAAAATAATGTTGTATGTATCCGCTTTTATGGACATCGGTGGAACCCATGATGATGCTTAAGGGGTTTACAGCTGTTTACGTTTTGCTGTACAATATTAGCAAATAGTAACATGAGTACTAACTGACATCTTTCCTCATTTATCGACACAGTTGCTGAGCAGGATCAACAAAAATATAGTCACGCCGCTTATACTTCTTTGTTTCGATTTCATGGTTTTTACGTCTCATTCTACGTCCGTTATTTCAGATGGTATTGTAACATAGCTTGAAACACAATTTAATTAATTATATTCAGTTTTTAAAATAGAATAAAGTACAAAAATAAAAACAATCCGCAGTATGAAAGAAAAAATAGAAATGAAAATGATTTTTTAGTTTAGTGTAAAATATATGAGAGAAATAAAAAAGATTTTTTAATCATTTTTTATTTTTATTTTCTCTTCTCTCGAACACAGAGAGAGACATTAATTGATTTTTTTATACTGAAAACAAGATCTCTTAATAAAATTATCAAACGGATTTTCAAACATGATTTCTATCTGAGATTGAAAACGTTTTCATTTCTATTTTCATACAAAAAATGAAATCATTTTGAAACGAGTTCTAAATACGCCTTTTGATTTCCATTTTCATAAAAAAAAACTGCTAACCTAATTCCTCAAGGAAAAAACTGGTAACCTAACCTCGGATGTTGGAAAATGGAAACCAAACTAAGGTGAAAGCATGAAAAAATATTCGGAGAAAAAGATGGAGTTCAATTCAAGGTATTCCCTCCTCCTCTGGGAGTACTGTAACTAACTGATGATCTAGACTAATCTGGATGACGAGAGAGAGAAAAAGAAAAAATAAATAAATAAATAAGAAAAGAAAACTCTAGGCTGCCGACAAACGGGAATAAATAGGAAATGAATGGTTTTATTCAGCAAGGAGAGGGGGGAAATAAAAAAAAAAAAAAAGAAAGGTTGAGGATTTTATAGTAAGGGCAGTTTTGAATCTTTTGATGTGATTTTATCATACTTTGTCAATATTATCCGTACTTTTTATTTGATTTGATTTTAATCAAATCATACTGTTATCAGTAAAAAGGTACACATATATCAATTTATAGAAAATGTCGAATCATGTTGCCTTGCGAATGGGTGCCCATATTTTTGCTTTTATAAATAACTTTCCCGTTTGTGCAGCTACCAAAAGTTTGGAATTTTCGAAAGTGAACATATTAAAGTCCATGTTGATAATCCGCATCCATCACGGATACCGAACTTATAAGCTGTAGACTATGATGGCTCCTCCCATAATCAGCCCCCACATTTAATTAAGTGATTGGTGATATATAATAGACTCTTCCAATCCACAATAAATAAACACAAAATTTTCAATATTAAACAAATATTCAAACAAATAAGCCTTTAGTAAACATTGATAAGAACGTGGATGACCCTTCAGGAATGTGTGTGTGTGTATATATGTATGTATGTATATATATGTCTAAAATCTATGGTATAATTCCCAACTACACGCAAACATACATTCAAGCACATAATATATGCGACGTAGTTTCTAGTTAATGTCATTTGTGTGTATTATATTAGTCAAAGTATTTTTCTTTGCACACACATATGTATAGACATATATATCTACATATTTATTTATATGGGATGTTGATTTCTTTTAGGCTTATTATAATGATATGTCACACATAATATTATACATACACACATACTAATTGCATGGAAGTAAGTGATCAAACACGTGCATGTCATTCATATCTTAAAACGTGAGAAGCATATAATTAATACTGATTCCACCGTACGTATTTCACGTTACTCCTGTCATCTATACCAATAGAACTATTAATAATTAGTAATGGTATATTATAATAAATAACATGCACGCAGATCTGGTGGTCAATTTAGTAGTGTTTTTCCGAAAATGCAGTTGATCGATCTATGGTAATTTTCTGAATTTTAAATTTTGAATCATAACGACAGGGGGTCAAGTTATATATGTATAATATTTCTATTTAAGGGAAATAATTTCGTAATTAGTTTCCCGGTCAAGATGTTCTTTTGGGCTAGTGTAGTTTTCGTCCATAGTTCGGGCTGAGTTGGGAAATTAATTGGCTAATTCAACAAGTCTATTATTGAGTTAAGAAGTAAATTATCAACCCATTGCTTCTCAAAATATTATGACTTATTCTTTTGGAGTTTAACTTGAGTATAATTCTTGAGTTGAATTTGAGTTATAACTTGAGTTGAACTTGTAACTTGAGTTTGTGTTTGGTTCTGTACATTTGAGTTATGGTTTGAGATAAGAATCTTTTTGAGTTTGTGTTTGAGTGAGTCAAAACTTGAATTTGTATTTATATAGTATTTTAATAAAAACTCAATACTGATGAAAAATTTTAATATGGTATATGGGTCGGGTTTTATTCGTCTTTTCGTTGTCCACGCATAGAAAAAAAAAATCATCTCAATCAGAATTAAAACGAAAAAGTTATAGCATTTTTAATAATAGAAAAAATACTGTTCATTAATTTGAGTTCGAGTTTCTGAACTCGAGTTGAAGAGGAAACTTAAACTCGAGTTTTAGTCCTAAACTCGATTTTGAACTTGGGTTTAAACTCGAGTTTAAACTTAAAAGGATATGAACTCGAATAAAATTGTAACTCGAGTTGTTTTTTTTTTTGAGTTTTTCACTCAAAAGAACAAACCCCATAAAATTCTTAAGAGACAGAGAGAGGACAATGTAAATGGTGCCTGTAATATTCAGATTTAAATTGGAAGAATTAAGATAATAATAAAAACAATATAAAATTACGAGTTCTGCCCTTATACTATTTTTGACCTAATAGTATAGAGTTTCTTCTTATTCTTTTTTTCCAACACTCTAAGATTTTGATCGAGATAATTTCAGGCTAATTCAATTGGTATTTAGTGTGTGTAAATTTTTTTCAATGTATTAAACAAGGGATAGTAAAATTCTCTAAAACAATCGTGACAATTTCATATATATACTAACTAATACAATATGTGAGTTTATCATGCCATTTTTATATATCTTTTGTTATTTCTAAAAAGATTAACAAATCATTTTGGGTCTAGCAGAATGCATATATGATTAACAGATCATTCTAGAGATGTCAATTAGACCAGGTCGTCCACTGAGCACGATGGCATGAGGCGACAAATTTTGGGCCGAGCAAGGCAATGTATAAAATTATTATGAGCTGGGCTAAGCACGATACAATGTGGTGAGCTATGTCAGGCTTATAGTTCTAAACATGGGGCACTTAATAAGGACACCACAAATTTTAGGCTTGACTTGACATATTCCAGTAAATATAAACTATTGTAAAGAATGCCACGGCTAAATATACTTAAAAATTATAAAATTCATAAAAATCACAATATATACATAAAAAATCACAAAACTCTCACAAAATCTAAATATATTGAATGAAATACATAAAAGTACGAGTATAATTTTACTCAGTAGACAAAACATAAATGATGTCACTATTACATTTTGTAATAGTTTTAGTACTCATGGCAAAAGTTAACCCAACCTTAAAAGATTATTATGAGATGGGTTAAGCACGATACAAGGTGGTGAGTTATGCCAAGCTTATAGTTCTAAGCACGGGACACTTTATAAGAACGCCACAAATTTTAGGCTTGAATTGGCATATGCTAGCAAACATAAACTATTGCAAAGAATGTCACA